CTATAAATATCAATAAATTTTGATGGTTTTAATAAAAGGTTAAATATCTTTTTCGGTTCCTTTGCTATTAAAAAAAAGCTCATTTTTGGTCCCTATACCAAAAAAATCTTCTTTGTAGTCCTTACTGTTTAAAATTCGATCTCTTTTTGGTCCCTCTATTAAATTTTTGCTTACGTGGCGTGTTATGTTAACAAGAACATTTGACATGGCTATTACACAATATAAAAGTGCCTACGTGGACTTAATAATACCCCTTCTATGTCACGCTCCTCACTTGGAAAAAAAAAAAAAAACCTTAAATGATGAGACCCACATTTTAAAATTCTCCACTTTTCTCCGGTTCCCTCCATAGAAATCATCTTCCATTTTTCAAAATTCTTGTTTTTTGTTCATGATCAATCCTTTACATGTGAAATTGATTAGGATATAATTGAGAATTCTAATTACTAATTAAAATGATTTTTCAATATTGTAAACTCTAACTTCTTTTTTGGAAAAGAGAATGACTTTACTCGTTCACTAATTTCAGATTTTCAACTCTTTCTTCCTATTGAACCTAGGCCACAGATAAATCAAGTTGTGAAGTTAATAGCAACATGAACACAACACCATAAACTTATTATCACCTACAATTTCAAACACAAATATCAAACACAAACCTAGAACTTAATGTCTCTAATTCAAAACTGAACATGAAACTTTGGTTTCATTCGGCTCCTTTTATGGAAGATAGATACATTCAAAATTGAAAAAAGAAAAAAAGAAAAAAAAAAGAGGGTTGAAAACCCAGAACTTGGGTTCCGCGAGGAACCCAAGATGATAAAGAAGATGGCCAAGAGAACGGTGAAGATGATGCCGAGGATGAGAAGGAGGATAGGGATGAGGAGAAAGAAGAAATTAAAGTTAATTATGTTTTAATTCATTTAATTCATGAATTAATTAAGAAGTAAAATTTTTAATTTATATAGGAGGCTTAAAATATTCATATAAAATGCTCACATGGATTTATATTTCATCCACGTAATTTTCATGTCAATTGATTCTGTTAATTAACGTATTACGTGAGCAAAAATTTAATGGATGGACTAAAAAAAGGGTTGAATTTTAAACAATGAAGACTATAAAAGGGATTTTCTTCGGTGTAGGGATCAAAAAGAGACTTTTTGAAATAGTAGAGGGACAAAAAGAGTATTTAACTTTAATAAAATAATAAGTACCTATAACAACGTTCATGTGTCGTG